CTACATGTTAGCATAGAAAAAAGAAAGGATGAGAAAGTTCATTTCTRTCTTTTGTTTTATTCACTACAGTAAACGGACTTTTAGATTTAGTTAGCAAAATAATTAGACTCTAATGTAATTAACTTTAATGAACATTAGCATTKTAGCACTGTCATGTAACATGTTAGTATCTAAAAGCATCACTGTGCTAACATAAGCTAAGCCTCAAAACCTAGGATGACTCATTTCTAAAAGTTCAGATAGGTTTTGAATGTTAATTTGTTAGTTTTGTGAAGGTATTTCTGTTTTTTTAAGTTATTCTCGCTTTTTTTTTCCTTGTGCACACAACATTGATTTGGTTGCCTCAAAATTTCCCTGCTAGCATATTTCTGTGCATTTTACGACAAATTAAGGTAACCAAAATAAATTAATACACCGAGACTAAAATCAATTATTAATATAGACTCACCTAATGTTTACAAACGAGATGAAGTGTGGTGATGGATAAATCGAAACTTTCAATAAAGCAGCTGGAAAAGGTTCAGTGTTTTGAAGAGTTTGATACAATTGGATTTGGCGCCACCTGCTGGCCAATCTTTACCACCGCAGTTACACAAAACAGGGCAAGGTGTCATGAAACAAGAGTAAGACTACATGCAAATTGAAGCTTGTTTTTTAAAATGCATYATTAATATTTATTTGTGTTATAATGTGATTGTACCATCATATAATATTACAACAGACATAAACACCTGCTCATTGGAGCAGGTGAAGCACCCCCWTTTTCTAAAGTACTGATTTTATTGATATCAACCTGGAGCTCATAGTAAATAACGAATTTTGAGGTTGAACTAAATTTGGAAAAAAAAGTTTTGCAATCATTATATTTAGGTAAATAAATTATGATATTTCAAAGTGTGAAGCGACTGGGATGAGGATCAGGTTGTGGTATTACTTTATAGAAGGAGTTAAAAATAAAACACGGTGTTGTTTTGTTGTTGAGCTGCAAGGTGATGCTCTCTGTTTACCTTTTGCTCTACGTTCCTAGACTCACCTGTGGTCCCAAACTCTGGGTAGTGACTGAAAGAACAAAACTGCAGACACAGGTCAGTTCTCCCTGCAGCATAGCTGAACTCCCTGAGACGTTCAGTTATCTGGGAGAGACTCRGARTAAAGCTGAGGTGTTTCAATCATCTAGCATTTTATTTTATTTACCTTTATTTAACCAGGTTAGCCGGTTGAGAACACATTCTGATTTACAATGACAACCTGGCCAAGAGGCGGCAAATACAGATACAGGTACAGACGGGCACAAGACAGCATGTAAATAACTGAATCAATCAATGGCAAATAATTAAATAGATAAATCACTGTGGATTTAGAGTAACGAGCAGAGGTAAGCTGGGATTTTACCAGTCAGGGTTTTATAGATCAACAGAAACCAAGCTGTTTTCCTGTGGGAGTGAAGTGAGTGTCAGTTCATTAGGGAGTACAGAGTGCAGTGATGGGAGCTGACTGGGGCTGCAGTGACAAATCTGATGGCTGCGTGGTAAAGGGAGTCCAGTTTGTGGAGGAGTGTTTTGTAAGCAGTTCTGTAGAGGACATCACCACAGGAGAACATCGGAAGAACTGTCATTTTTACCAGAAGACACTGAGCAGATTGAGTCATAGACGATTTGTGTCTAAGGACTCTCCTAAGGACTCTCCATGAACACTTTTCCTAACAAGGTTATGTGGACATGTTCAACTTGGAGGCGACCCGGGAGACGTTGGAGAGACATGTCTCTCAGCTGGTCTGGGAGCACTTTAAAGTCCTCCTAGAAGAGCTGGAAGAGGTGTCTGTGGAAACAGAGGTTCTGGGCCATCCTGCTCAAGCTGCTGCCCCTGAGACCAGACTCCAGAACAAGTGGAAGATCCATCCATCCATCCATCCATCCATTTTCTGTACACGCTTCTTCCTTTTCAGGGTCACGTGGGTCACTGGTGCCCATATCCAGCAGTCACAG